AACAAAATCCTGCCTGATCCATGAGTGTGCAGGGGAGGGCTTGGTTCTTCCAGTTTGTCTTTCTCCTGTTCTGCAGGAATTGCACCAGCAGCACATTGGAGAGGTGTAGTGTAAGTCAGACCAGAGGCAACAGTGATGGCAATGAAAATGAAGCTTTGAGTTAAAAAATGTTTTTTAGTGTTTGGCCGAGCCTCTATGTGGAATGGACAGAAAGATGAAAGAGGGCGGGCCATGAGGGTGATGGGCATGCCTTGTTGAACCATGTTGAATTCCATGTGGGAATTTCTGTCAGGTTAATTATTGCACTGAGCAATGTGGAGCTGTGCTTGGGCTGGGGTAATCAGGGTTGATCCACCCCCAGGTTTCAGCTCTGAAAGAATTTGCTAGCATCCCCACTGGCAAAAGAGAGCATGGAAATGCCTTCCCTTCCTGGAGTGCCTGTGGTCATGGGGGCGACCGGAGATGTAAAATATCTCACGACCTCATGCACTATGCCAAGGACATGCTTGGAAAAGCCAATCTCTGCTGAGCTAATTCCAGCACTGCTGGGATTCCCCCTGGAATACGTGGCCAGATCAGCTTTCGCTGGAGGATAAATGTGTGTTTGCTGGGAGCACACCAGAGGGTTTGGTGGGGCCAAGGGTTGCTGAAGAAAGGCCTGGCAGCTCCTGGTGTGAGCACCTTTTCCCATCTGAGACAAAAACTGCTGAGAGCAGACTGCAAAGGCAGCGTGGGAGATGAGCACTTCTGCAGAGAAACAGCAGGAGCAAACTGAATGCTGGCTCCCAGAAACACCTCCCTGGGAAGCCAGCTCTGGATGGGGGAGATGTCAGTACTGATGCTCATCCTTAGGGATAGCCACTGGGTTCCTACATGCAGTCCCATAGCTTGACTAGAGCAGATTTCTTGTGGGGGGGTAAAAGCAGAGCTGGGGAGCAGAAATTATATCACTCTGGCTCATTAAACTCAGCATTGGTGATATCTATCCCCACCAAGACACTGATCCTTTCCTAAAAGCATAGAGAAGGATCCTGTGCCTGCATAAAGTTCACCCAGGAGTATCTTTAAGCTTTGAAAACTGCTTGGAGATATGAAGCTCATGGGAAAGAGGTGTCAGGGGAGCTGTTCCCTGCTTTTTGCTCCTGCAAGCCCTGTGTAACTCTGCCAAGGGTCCCACAGGGATGTCAGCTTTCCCCACATCTCACCTCTCCCCGAGTGCTGTAAAGGAGAGCAGCCCTTGAATCTGGCCAATGTTTAGGAAGGAGCATCCAGAAGGAGCACCGAAATACGGCCTTGGGACACACAATCCTATTTGAGAGTTTGGAGGCAGGAGGGTATTTGGAGCAACACGATGGACAGGTCCCACAGGGAATAAAAAAAGCAGAGGATAAAAGAGGGCACAGAAGGCAAAGGCAAGGAGAGCAACTAAACCCTGTCCAAAAACAAGGGCAAAATTGTTCACTTCCATGGTTAGTCACAACGAAAACATTGGCATTTCATAATTTCTTCCAGCTTGAGAAAAATACCCCATTAGGGCAGTGAGAGCCCTGACTGGGCCAGTGCGTGCTGAAACTGAAGGGGACCCATGACCCCTCTGCTGACCCTGTGGGTTATTTTCATGCTTTACTGGGGACTGGGGTGCCAGGTGAAAGTTCCCAAATAATTTCCTCCCCAAATAAATTCCAGTCTGGGCAGGAAAGCAAAGCTGCTGTGGTGAAGCTGAGCGGAGTGGAGCAGTGATGCACACACCACCAGATTTTATCACTTGGTGGTGAGCAGATGTGGCTCAGCACCAGATCCCACCATGTCTCTTGGGGCTTGACCTCAGGATCTGGTCTGGGGTGATAAATTCCCTCCTCTTTCTTTTCCAGTTTAGAGTTGAGGAGGGGGTGTTGCTGTAGTTAACATGTCCTGGTGAGAGACAGGGGAGAGACCCTGAGAGCTGCTGCTCTGCATGGGAAGATGTAAATCTGGGGAACCCCTGGTAATGATGCTCTGGATATCTGAGCTCAGCAGCATCAGGGGCACCAGCCTGGGGTATTAAAAGGTGGGAATTGTAGCAGGTTTAAGCATGTTTTTCCTGCTACCCCTGTCCAATGGTGTGATACCCCCTAGAGAGGGTTTTTATCAGTGAGGTTTTGATATACAAAGCTGAATCAGAAACAGAGTATTGTCTCACCGAGAAATGGTCTAAAGATACAGTTTACCAAGTAGTTGAGCCCGGAAGGCAGGACAGATCCCTCCCTCTGCTTTAAACAGGGTTTTTAGGAGGCGGATGGGGTGATCCAGATTATCCCCAGGAGGGGCAGCAATTACCATCCCTCCTTGGCAGGTTCAGCAGAGCGGCCAGGGCCGGCTGAGCAGGCAGAATGGGGCGCTGGTTTATCCCCTGTGATCACTGGGATTTGTGCCTCTGCCTTTTGCTACAGAGATTTTGGGGAATTTTGGGTGATGCCCTGTTTCAGACCTGTTTGTAACTTACAGCACAGTGGCACCGTGCTAATTTTTATGATGCTGTTATTTAATGAAAAGGCTGAAAACTGGGAGCTTCCCAGTCGCTTGACTTGTGAACTTTGGGTAAGAAGAGAAGCTGTTCCAGAGGTGAGCTCATTTCTAACCCCGGGAAATGACTTCATTGATGCTGGTATTTACTCACAAAAACATTGCATGTCAGATGTCCCTGACTAGACTTTCTGTTTCAAGTCCAGTATGAGACAAAAATTTCCTTGGATGAGCTGCTCCTAAGACAATTCAAGGTTTAGAGAAGGAGGAGAAGAATTGCAGGGGGGGTGGGTGTGGGGAAAGAATCAGCATTAAAAACATTCTGAAATCATGAGGTTTTTCTGAATAAAGGCAAGTTTTTGGGCATCCAGTCTGGCTGAAGCACCTGCCTGGGGAGAGGGTGCAGATGATGAGTCCAGCAGAGAAATCACCTATCCTTACCCCCCACAATAACCAGCAGCTGGAGTTTCTCTCAAAAAGCAAAATACAAGTTTTTATCTTTGGGAAGCCAAGCCCCCAGCAGTGATTTATCAGGACAAACAGCAGGAGGTTCTCTGCCCCATGTTTGCCATAGGTTAATGGAAATTATATCCCGCACTGCTCTCCCTGGATGAGATCCCACTATATACAAGGTGTCTGATGGAAAAACACAGCACTTGCATTTTTACTCAAGGTCTGCTCGTGCACAAATTGTCACTGGGATTGTATTACCCAGTGTGGTTCCCAGTTTCTGTTTTCTCCAGCATCCCAGGATGATCCACATGGATTTGGAGAGATCAGTCCTATCTGGGGACACTGGGGGATGCTCTGTCCCCTCATGACCCAGCACTGGACTGCAGCTCTGGGGATGTACTGGGGCAGCATCCCAAGAGGAGGAGATTTCGGGAAGAGCCAAGCTGGGATGTATGGAAACAAGCCCTGCCTGCCAGCACTGTTTCCTAATCCTGGACACCAAAACCCTCTGATCGTTAAACCAGTGTTCAGAGATTCGGCTGAAGGCTGCCATGCAGACAGCATCCAAACTGACCTTTGAGGAGATGAGCAAAAAAAAAAAAAAGAAAAGACAGAAAACACAAGGGGGTTACTGTGCAAACGCCGGAGAAAAGCAGTAATTTCAACAAGGGACCCCACCCTTAAAATAAGACTTATTGCTAATGCATGCCCAGGACATTTCTGTGTGATGGTATGCTAAAAAAATCCTCTCTGAAGAAGGACTAAAGGCTTTGTTGTGACATGAGCAAGGCTTACAGTTCCCAAGAAAAATCCTGTCCCTCTCTTGCATCATATGGCCAGGGATGGAGAGGACATTTCTAGACAAAAAGACCATCAGCCAGGACAAAGGACAAACAGGGAATACATTCCTGACTTGCTATTTAATTGCTTTTGTGCAGGTGCAAAGGGCTAAATGAAAAGAAAAATAAGGATGAGTGTGTGGGGCTGAATTAATCTCAGCTTTAAGCAGGAACCTAATGTCAGGAGGAGGTGGCTGCTGGAACAAACAGGCTTCCACCCAACTTCTATGCAGATTTTTTGCTATTTTTCCCCCAAGGGCTAGGCTCATTCCTAAGGCACTGGTGGGTGATACCCCTGTCAGGTAAGGAGGTGATGGGGACAATCCCATCCTATGTGGCAGGATTGGCTGGTGCTCACTGGCAGTACCAGCTGAGTCTGCTTTCCTCTTTTCCCCTGTATGAAAAGCACTTTGGATGCAGGACTTGCCCTCTGTGGCTCTGAGCAGGGAATTTCCATCCTGATCCCTTTTGGCAGCCCTATACAGAAGAGATGGAGAGTTTAGGGGATTCTAGAGCAAACATGGTCCACTACCTGCAGCATCTCCTGGGTGTCAGGAGCTGGTCACTCTGCCACACAATATGACTCAAACCCACAGAGGTTTGAGTGTCAAATTGGAAAAAGGAAAAATATCTGTTCTGCTTGTGCCCAGGAGGACTCCTGCCAGCATAGCAGCCTCAGAGATGGTGCAACCATCAGAGCTCAGGCATTTCCTCCTGAAATAAGTGGGAGTAGTTTTAATAATGGAAAATCTATTCCAGAAAGGGAATCTCCTCCTCTTGGGGAACAATGCAGAGCCACCACTGCCAGCCTGGGATCTGCAGGGACCTGTATACCACATACTCTTTAATTTAATAGCCTGGAAAATGTGAAGGTCTATCTGCATGTTATTAAAGTCCCAGCAAAGCCCCTGGAAGTGTGTTTGCCAGTGCTGGCCCCAGCACAGCTTGGGGCTGTCCCTCTTTCATCCCCACAGCTCCTTTGCTGGCCAGAAGAGTAGGATGTCCTCAGTTTCCCTCCCTGTCCTTGCATTGCACATCATATTTTTTAAGCTCTTGTGAGCTCTTTGTCCCTCCCAAGGTCCTTCCCTCTCACTATGTTATGCTGTAAGAAATACAGAAAGAACAAGATGGGAACTGATAGACTGCAGGAAAAAAAGCACATTCATTAAAATAGCAAAATGAACCACGTTTCCCCTTATTAATTCTCTCCTTACAGTATTTCCAGTCCAGGCATGTGCCTGTGATGCTCCCATGGACCCGTGTGGTCCAGGAGCATCTCCGAGGTGTGTGCGCGCGTGTCTGAGAGTCTCTCGGTTGTCTGAGCAACGGGACGTTCATCACTAACTCCCAGGATAATTAACTCATTTTCCTGTATTTATAGCACACCAGTACAGGGAGTATTGGCACTTATCCCTGATGGAGCCACATTTGGCCACAACATTTTGAATTTTGGCCATTTCTTGCATTACGGTGGCTGCCTGAGCCAGGCTGCCCATGGGTGCTCGCCTCGGTGTGCCCCGCTCCTGCTTTGCCAGTGCAGGGGTGTTTGCAGCAGCATTCCCGTCTCCAGATGCCTGCATATGCCTGTGCTAACAGCAGCGTTGCTCCTGGCTTGGCCGCTGGCAAGGGGAAATTTTACTGCTTCAAGGTTTGTTGCAGGGATCTGCTGCAAGGAAACATTGGAGCATCCTGACTCAGCACTGCAGCGGTGGGGGACCCGTGGGAAAGACACAGAGCATCTTCTCTCAGCATCAGGGCATGCGTATGCCAGGTATGTTCCCATCAGCTGTGATAAATCCTGACCTGGACACAGATTTCTTGTTTCTTCCAGACAAGCAATTTGGTACTTATTAGCTGTTTGTTCTCTTTGCTGCTTGTTTGTTGGGTTGGTCTTTGGGGAGGGAGGGGTGAAGGCAGTGAGGGGAAGGGGGCTCGGGGTGCGGGTGGTGGGGCTGGAGGAGGGCGCATTGCTGCAAGGTGTCGGCATCTCCATCCCGCAGTGCTGGGGAGACAGATTTGATCTCTGCTGCTTCTGTTGTTTGTACAAATGTAAGGAATGTTTTATTTTGGAATCAGCAAACAGGAAGGTGCTTGAAACAGTAGGGGATATGCTGTACCTGCAGCTGGGGCTGTAAACAGCTCATGGCCACAGTATTTGCCCTTAAAAAGTGAGTTCTGCTCAGATAAAAGGGCAATGAAATCAAGTGTGGGGGCCAACCACACTGCTCATCACTCCCCAGCCACCCCCAGCTTAGGGGGTGTTCTACCTTCCTCTCCTCCTCCTCCTTTGCCTCCAGAAGGGAAAGGGACAGAGGTGTAATACTGGTGCTGCTTGGGTCCTGGGAAGGGACATCCAGGCTCCTAAATGTCACTGTGATCCTCTCCCAGGAGCCACTGTCAGACTCTGGACAGTGTGGGATGCCTTTTCTCCCTGCCTGGTCACCCTCAGCTGCTCCTGCCCCTGACCCCAGATCTGGCATTGAAGATGGAGGTGGATCATTAAGGTTAAACACTGATGGGAAGGGCTGTGTGGTTTCTAAAAAGCTGAGCCCTGCTTATAAACCCCCCTTGAAAGGACGAGTCCTTGAACCAAGCACAGCTGTCCCAGCACAGGCTCAGCCAGCTCTGGTATGACCCATTCCCAGCAGGATGCTGGCAGACAGTGAGTGGTTCCGTGGTCCTGGCCACCACTCCTGCTTTCCCAGCTGCTCAGCCACCTTGCAAGCAGCTAAAAATATATGTCTGTGTGACCAGTCACTGTAGCAAGGGTGAGCCAGAGAGGGCAGCCAGGCTGGGTCATCGTGGTGGGGTGACACAGTGGCTTCACAAAATGGGTAACACAGGACGGGACAAGACAGGATGGGACAGACTGCTGCTGGTACCTCCAGTGCAGATCCCACTATCTCCCCACTTGTCCATTTGTTGAAGCTGCAGCACTCTACACAGCCCCTAAGAAGGGATTCACTTTTCTGCTTGCATTTCAGCAGGGGATGAGTGAGGAGCAGCTCCCTGCATCTCCCCACTGCCCCACCGTGCAGGAGGACACCAATGTCTCGGCCTCTGCATACCCCCAGTACTGGGTGGAGCCCCAGTTCACTCAAGCAGCGAAGGTCCGTGTGATCATCACAGCCGTCTTCTTCCTGCTAGCAGCAGGCAGCAACGCAGCAGTGCTGGGCAGCCTGCTGAGGAAGAGGAGGAAATCCCACGTGCAGCCGCTGATCCTCAGCCTGGCGCTGGCTGACCTGCTGGTGACAGTGATGGTGATGCCCCTGGATGCGGCATGGAATGTGACAGTGCAGTGGTATGGAGGGGACATCTCCTGCAAGATCCTCAACTTTCTCAAGCTCTTTGCTATGTATGCAGCTGCCCTGGTACTGGTGGTCATCAGCCTGGACCGGCACGCAGCCATCCTCCATCCCTTCTCCCGTGCTCACCACCGCAATGGGATGCTGCTCCGTGCTGCCTGGGCTGGCAGTGTGCTCCTGGCTTTGCCCCAGGTAAAGTTCAGTGCCCTCCCCACAGAGTTTGCCTAAGCTGGGGTGGTTTTGGAGAAGGGCTTCTCCAGCCCAACATCTCCAACCAGTCCATCCCAATCCATGGACTCCACCAGCACCAGAATAAGCCATGAGTTAGGTGCCCAGAGTCCATTTTCCAGTCCAATGGCAGCAGGGAGGCACTCTCCATGCACAGCCAGCAGCATCTCCAGGATGTGATGCTCTGTTCCAAATCCTCTCTGAGTTATTCTTTGTTCCTCCATTTCAGCTTTTCCTCTTCCACCTGAACACAGTCCCAGGAAGGAATTTCACCCAGTGTGTTACTCATGGAAGCTTCCGAGCACACTGGGAGGAAACCGTCTACAACATGTTCACCTTCACCACCCTCTACATCACCCCTCTGAGCGTCATGGTTGTTTGCTACATCCGGATCCTTTGGGAGATCAGTAAGCAGCTAAAGGTCAATAAAGGTAAGTAGATCCCAGCCCTTTAATGCCCTCCATGACTGAATTTCTCCATCCTGGAATTGTTGTTGGGTCTGTAACAACACCCTTTGAAAGCTAAGAAGTTTTGCAGAAACAAGCTAAGAAATTATTGACCCCAGTCCTTGCTGTCTTCTGCTTCCTGTGGGACATGGACCAGATTATGAGATGGTCTTCCCTCTCTGGCAGAAGCAGAGTCAAGGATGGTTATGTTGTCTTGGTTTTCCCCTGTCTTCAACTATCCTTTTGACTCTCCTTGGCAGGTTTGACAAGAAATCAAAATGACCACATCTCCAAGGCACGAATGAAGACTCTCAAGATGACCATAGTGATTGTTGCCACCTTCATCATCTGCTGGACCCCCTACTATCTCCTGGGCTTGTGGTACTGGTTCCAGCCAGCCATGATCCAGAAGATGCCGGAGTATGTCAACCACAGCTTCTTCCTCTTTGGCTTGCTGCACACCTGCACCGACCCTATCATTTATGGGCTGTACACTCCTTCCTTTCGGGAAGATGTGCAGCTGTGTCTCAGGGGCATTGAAACAGCCATCACCAGGCAAAAGAGACACAAACCCATCTCGGCCTCAGAGAGGAACATCAAGGATGGTGCTGCAAATGGTGGGGTGGCATCAGGAGGCTCCAATGGCACAACTGTCAGCACGGTATGATGAAGAGATGTACCCACAAGGGAATGGCAGGCACAGCTTTGGGACTGTTCTGTCCTGTAGGACCATTTTGGAGACTGTCATGATGAGGTTCCCTACTCAGCTTTGGTGGGTGAAGATCTCTGGCCAGTAACTGAGGATGTGTCTCCTGCCTGTACTCAGGGTGAAAAATATCTGGGGGTATTTATGGTCATTCTGCTGTATTCTGGCAGTGCCGTGACAACTAGAAAGAAAAACATCCTTTTTGTACCTGGCACAAGCTCCATCCCTGATTCTGGGATCAAGCTTCTCCACACTTCCAACATCAACCCCTGGGAGGAAATTTACCATCTCCTCTGTGGTCCAGGATCATGTCTCTGAAGTGGCTGGTCTTCAATGTCCTTTGCACTCACACCCAGCTGTAGAGCTGCATGGATGGTGTCACCCTGAGCCTGCAAAGGTGTGATCACAGGCTTTTATTCTGTTTTCTTCACCCATTGTAGGAAAAGCCCCCTGGAAATTTCAGATCTCCTGACTCAGAACCTGCCTGTTTCTCCCATGGCTGTGTGACAAGCCCTGGGAAAGATCTAAATATCTGGAGATTGACTAATGCAGGGGCATTCATGCCCATGGTGAGCAGGTAGGAAGTGCTGTGAGGATGGAGGGGCTCAGGTAAGAATGGTGCAAAGAACCACAGTGGGTTCTTCTCTCTTTTGAGAGAACCCACTCAAAAGTGAGTTTTCTTCTCTCTTTTGAGGAGAGCCGGAAGGGAAAACAGTCCCTGTTACTGTTTTCTGGTGTGAAGGGGATGGTACAGACAGACACATCATTACACAGCAGCGCTGTGGGATACAGGGCAAACCACAAAAGAGGGTATTTGGGGTAATGAGAACCAGACCTGACACTGCCCAGCCCCCCTAGACCTTTCTGTCCCCACGTCCCAAAGCACAAGCTGGCAGGTTACAGGCCACACGCTGGACACATTCGCTTTGCCCTAAGCAACACCAGCCCCTTGGTTCTGCCCCAGCAGAGCAGGTGCAGCCACACCACAGGTGTTGTCTGAGGTGTCCCAATGATGGAAGTGATGGGAAGCAACTGGTAGGTGGAGGGTTCTATCAGCACCTTTAGTGCCAGATGGAGCCAAATGAGGGCTTCTAGAGGGATCAGCTGAGCTGTGGTGAGTGACATGGGTTGTTTGCTTTCTACCATTGTGCTAAAATTTGCTTGTGAAGGCAGAGGTTTCCTCTCTGGGTGTGGGTTGAAGAGATGAGTTTATTCAACTGTGTTGTCCTTTCCAGGTAATTATAAATAGTGGATTATTTCTTTTTTTTTCATTCTCTGATGTTTGTTATTAAATGTGGGATTTGCTTTTGAAGAGAAATTTAGTTTTAAGCCAGGTGGGTTGTTGTTTTCTTGCTTTAGTTAAACCTTTGGACAGCTCAGGAGCTCTGGACTTGGCAGGAGGCAGTTCCTTAGCTATTTTTGTGGCCATTGCAGCTTTTGATGAGCATCTGGACTTTATCAGGATGAAAGAGCTTTGCTTTAAAAACAACTCTTTTCTTGCTGTGGTTGCGTGTGTAGGGAGCTGGGAGATGTCTTCCCCTCAAGAAAATAAATCTTGTTTGGGCACTGAGGGGGCTTTTTCTCAACCTGTTTCCAAGAGGTATTGGCTCCCCATCAGCCAGAAAGGATCTGCACTGGTCTCCCAGTACCCCAGCTAACAAATTATTGAAATTGGAGGGGTGGCAAGTGGTCCTTGCAGGCTGGCTGAGGCTGGGCAATGAGGACATAGGAAGCCACAGTACTCAGGGTGATGCTGAGCTGCACACCCTGGGTATTCAGCCCTTGCCTTTCTGGTGCTAATTATTATTTATGCTAAACATGTAGCCCAAGGAGAAAAAAAAAATCAATTAGAACTGCAGGAGCCTAGACCAACTGGTGGGGATTAGCATGAGGCATTTCCAAACTCCAATGAGATGCGTAATCGCAGTTTGGCTTTCCTGGGCTCGTTCTGCTCAATGTTAATTACCCAGTGCTAACAGAGCGGGGGTTGGCTGATGCCAGGCTGGCAAAAAAGGGCTTCTTGTAAGGTGATGGGAATGGCTTGCAGTAGGGGAAGCTAATTTATTCATCAGACACTCCTTTGGTCTTTTTGTTTATACTGCTGATGGGAGGCAGACCTTGAAGGTGTATTGGTTTTCTGGCAAGCCTTGAATAAGCAGGAAAGTGTCTTTAATCTACTGAAAACTGTCTCCATCTACTTTTTGCTGAGTGGGAGAGAACAGATCCAACATTGCTCATGCACATGTCTCCTCTTGCCCAGCAATAGAAGAGCTTAGAAGTCTTTTCTGAGGAGCAAGAAACACTTTTTTCCTTGTGGGAAAGATTCACCACCTTTACACCCCATGGGTACAGTAAAAAGACAAAAGCAGGTTTAGCTTTAGGGACTCAGTGATCTTACAATAATTTAGGTTGGAAAAGATTTCTATGAAGAGTAGGAAAATGGGGATTCTGGCAAGCAGATGTACCTTAGTCCTTAGGGGAAGCATGGCACATTCCTTGGGATTCTTGCAGGCACTCCAGCGCTGCTCCTTTTGCCCATCTCTTTCATGTCTTCCCTCCTGTTGCTGACGTTCAAAATGACATCTTGTGGAGCCTGGAGTGTGGGCAAGGTGCCCAAAGTGACAGCTTTCATGAGAGAAGGAAAATGTCACTGGAAGCGTGTGCTGCCGTGCCATGTGCTCACTGCATGCAGGAAGGGGGAGCAAGCAGGTGGGCAGCACCTCCTTGGGGAAACTGGAATCAGTCTGGGTTGTGCCAGAGGTGGACCAAAGCCTAGGCCTGGTTTGAATATTCCTGCATTTCTGATTCTGCTTTACTTATATTTGCTCACACTTTAGAGAGCACAAGATTCTTGCATCAGTTATTGGGAGTGTGAATCCCTAAGTCTTGCTTTGCACCCCACACCTAATGGTGGTCCTGCTCTCTGTGGTGCTTCCCTTTCTCTCCCTACATTGTCTCAAACCCTTTGTCTCCATCAGAACCTGCCCTTCTCATCAGCTGGCTCCTCAGCTCTCCATATATAAATATCTATAAAATAGAGAAAAAATAGTTTTTATACATATTATCTATTTCTGCTTGTTGGAGGAAAATTCTCCCACTTCCTCAAAACCTGCTCATTCCCACCAAGGAAACACCAGTTACCACACTGCTTGCAGTCCCAGCCAGGATCAGATTTGTCTGATTCAGTAACAATTCCTTAATATTCACCACAGCAATGTAATGAACATATTAATAAGAGCAGGTAGCTCTGTATTTAACAACTCCTCAACCTCACCCTGGGCTGCCTGCTTCAAACACAGCGGCCCTTTGTTCGGGAGGAAATTCTGATTCATTCCCCGTTAGTGTTTTTATAGCACTGTGCATGTTCAAAGAGCCACGCAAGTGGCTTAAGAGGCTAACACAAACCTTGGGTTAATTCATAATACTGTTAGTTACTCAGCACAATACCCGTATTAATCCAGCTGACTGCACCTCGCCACGTTGGGAAACACATGCTGAAATCAGCAGGGAGCTCAGAAAACAAGCGTGGGAGTAGGATATTAAGTATTTTGCCAGGCTGCTAGGTAGGATCTGAGCACCTTAAATGTATTTAAAATATTTTCCCATTGCTGTTGCCTCACTCCGCAGCTGTGGAGCTGAAGCAATGATGAGGCTGTGCCCAGAATCCCTGCAGGCCTGAGCATGAGGGATGGGGCTACAAGCTCTCCAAGGGATACTCCAGACACATCCATCAGGACTCAGCCCCCACCTGCAACCACCTCCTTTTTTTTGAGTCTATTCAAAATGATCAAAGAGGAAAAAGCTGGTTTTGTTTTTTTTTTTCCCTTTGATACCTGCTGATTTCATTGCAGAGCTGGACTGTGCATGTCTGCCATGAGCCCCCACAATGCTTTCTCTCTGGGGACATAGCCTGGAACTATTATTACTACTTCTGCTTACTCTCAGAAACTTTCCTATGCAAAGAAACCCTAAGAAAAGAGCTTTAAATCCCTGCTGTGTTCTTTTCATCTGGCTCAGGAGCTCCCAGGTTTGTGCCTTTCCCTGCAGGGCCAGCAGCCAGCCATCCCACAACTGCTGCCTCTTCCTTTTCCAAAGGGCCCCAAATAGCCCATCTATTCCAAAAGATGGGGTATTTTTTCAGACAAACCAGGCTTTGAACAAAGCAGTACCCTTTAGACAGCATCAAGTACCTCCAGGTTTTTTGGCTGGCACATTACCTCTCCTAAACTTGTGTATTTACATGGCACAATCTTTACTATAACATGCTGAGAAAGACCAAAAATGGGCAAATATTCCTGGGACCCCCATGCACATCTAAATCCTCAAGTTTCTGCACTGAAATATCAAGGTGTGAACTATAAAGTAGTTGAACCTGTTGCACAATAAATTATTTGTTTATGTATATTTTAATTGCAAATCTCTGCTACAATTAGCACAGACACTTCTTGAGCTGAGGTGCTGCAGTGTGCTTTGACAGTAAGCATTATTAACGGGCTGTAAAAGGCAATGGGGAATTGGATTATAATGTTCTTGTTTTCCAAGCTGTATGGTGAATAAATAAATTTGTTCTGGCAGCAAAATTAACTGGGATAAATGTGTCTAGCTCCAGTCACCAAGAAGAGGGTTGTTGTAAATGAACTTGTTCTCAGCCTTGAATTAAAAAACCTGATTACCAGGACATTATTTCTGGCAATTAGGTACCAGAACAACATCAGAAAGAGATTTTCTTTGAAATACTTAATGAGTAAGATAGTAATCACAGACTCCTTTGCTGGAAATATGTGATGAGTTGGGTTTTTTTGTGGTTAGGGTTCATTGTGCAATGAAAATCTGTGTTTATCAACTAAAGGCTGGACTGAGAGACTGAACTGTGGCACATATCTGACTTTTCCTTGCCTAGAATCTCTGGGTCTTCATGGTTATCCCGTGCCCAGTCACTAATCAGGGGACAGTGCTTTGCTCCTTTTTCTGTTTCAGGCAGTTGTAGGTTGCTTTGTGACAACAGCAAACACAAACCACAGGAGGGAGAGGAGAGAGCATTGCCCTTTGTATGTTGCATTATTAACTTGCACATGGCATATTCTCTAACAAACCCCCAGTTTGGTAAGAACAATCCTTATTCAGTATTGATGCTGAAAACCCTGAGTTTGTCTAATCTGCACAGAAAGCTAGGATAAGATAGACCACGGCTGAGACCACAAGCCACGTAGATGTTTGTGCTGTTTTTGCCCAGGATAGAGTGAATTTTCCTCATAGAACTGTAGTAACTATGTTTTGGATTTGTAGTTTAGTTGCCAACTGGGATTAAAACACAATAATGTTCTACAAAGGGGAAAAAACACACTAGAAACTGTTTGAGTTCTTCCATTTGGCAGTTGTTTTATTTCTTTTTGTTTTTTTTTCCTTACAATCATTATGCTCAAATATAAAAATTCCTGGCCAAAGCTAGTTTTAGAAGTTTAAAAGTAATTCCATCTGCATTGATACATGCCACAAACATCACTAGATTCAATTTCTGAAAACATACTGATAAGACTCCCAACAGGTTGCTTTGCCTGATATCCAGGAAAATCCTCCTTTCCAACTTGTGCAAACATACTTCACCTTGACAGAAAGTAAGTTACACCTGAGTGTTTCCATGCTCAGCTTTCATTAATCTTAAATAACCTTTTTTCCATGGACCCTTAACGACTGGCTCATGCTAAGCTGCACCACTGTGATCCTTTTCAGCTGTACTAGGCATCCTCATGAATCCTAGGAACACAGAAATAAGAATAAATGCAGAGATACCATGAGGATTAATATATTGGTGACACAACTGGAAAGCTCCAGGCACCTTTATTTCCAGAGCTCTGGAATAGATGCAGTGCACTGCAGATCAGCTATTCTTAAGGCACGTGGTGAAATTAACAGTTTATCATCTTGGGTGGTTCATCTCTCTGAGTCAAACATTCTGTGCCAGTAGTAGATGAAGGTTGGCGAGTTGCTGGCCCCTATCACTATCAGCAAGAGCAGGTACAACATCATCATTATGGCAAAACGGTGGGTGTAGAACCAGGAAGATTCATTAGAAGGCCTGAAAAGGGAAAAAAGCATGAATTCTGCCAGAGATGCAAAAATATCTCAAGTTTCATTACTTTAGGCCAATCTAATAAGAACAGAAAGTTGTTCCACAATCCCTGTAACTAATGAAGCCTGATTTTCACCACATCCCTTTTCCTTAAGTCTCCATGCACAGTCCTGTCTTTTCTCCCCATGTTCACACCTCTTCCTGTGGTCTGGAGCTGTAGATGCCTGGCCTGTAGACATGTGTTGAGTAGCTGAGTGAACACTGCCACGTAGGATAGATAAGGGCAGAGTTAAAACTGAGGCAGTTTTAAGAGATGCACTCACCAGACATCCACTCTCGGTTTCTTGCCACAAACAGATAATTAGACCTCTCAAAGACTCTTAAGTGCTTACAGGTCTGGTAAAAAAGCAAATTTAGCTGAGCCTGGGAATGTCCAAGAGCAAGACAGAGGCAACATGATGGTGTAAGACTTATTTCCATAGGAAATGGGCTACAAACAAATTCTGGAAGTGCAGTATATCTTTCTTCATTGTTTTTCAACAATGAGATACGTTTACCCGGCTGTTGTAGCAGCTCATCCCTCTAGACAGCTGAACTCTTACCTCCTATGCTGCTTCTGTGAATACACCAGCAAATATTTAACTCGTAAAAGCTGGTTGTTTGTAACAACAAAGTATTTCTGTGGTACGTCTCCCCCTTCACTGTTTTTCACTCTTGCTCTTTTTCTGTCTATTTCTTCTGAGTCTGAATTGGGAAAGAAAAAAAAAAAAAGCAGAACTTCAAGTAACTGTAAAAAAAGTAAACAACCAACACCCCCATACACACCCCCCAGAAGAATGGGAATGAGATAACCAAAGATCTAGTCTTGGTATTCCCCTGAAGCCCTCAGCATCCAAGAATAGAGTGAGAAGTTTGCTTGAGGCTATACCACTCCTAGTCATCCTTGGTATGGATGACATTATGGCCCAGACCAGGGTGACGAGGAGGTAAGTCTCCCATCCAGTGCTCGAGGAGCCACTGGTATTAAGAGGGAAAGAAAAACAACATGAAGGACAGATGTAACTACTACACAGTTATTACTGTAATAGACTCACCTTTCTTCTTCACCTGACACTTTACATCTGGGTGGTCAATGATCTCACAAACAGCCACACAGCTGAGGATAGAGCCCAGCGCACTTCGCTGCCAGCCAAGACCATGAGGGCTGTACAGCAGAGCCAGGCTCAGGTCACTGGTCAGATAGGTGCCTTCACCAAACAGGGATGTCTGAAACAGAGCAGAAGTCTACCCTAAAATCATGTACTGCAAACCTCAAACAACATACAAGTGTTCTTTCCTTTTAGACTGGCAGTTCTTCTCCTGAAGGTAAATTACGAAAGGCCTTTCTGACCCGTGTTGGGCCTGGTCCATGCACTGTTTTTGTCCTGGCACGACTTCCTTGGGGTGGGGTTGCTACCCTCTCACATCCCTCAAATTAGCTGCTTGGCAGAGCATTTGGTGTGGACAGATTCATGCTTTCCCGGATTTGGAGTTAGTTTGCCAGCATAAGTATCTTACATCAACATGACTGCACTGCTCTTAAAAGGCATTTCATCGATTTATTGAGACTGTCATCATTCAAGTAATCCAAACAAGGCAAGGCTTTGCTTCATTTAAATCCATGCTTTACTAGAAAAGAGGAAAGTACTTTTCAATTTGCCACACTGGCTAAAATTATTACTCCAGTAAGTCCATTGTACCCGGTAAACCATTACTCATCGAGAATGTGGGTAAAAAACATAGTCCAGGTTGACTGGAATGTCAAGCAGGTGCTGTGTCAAAGCTGCCTCACAGCTGACACAAAAAGCCCTTCCACTGAAATCAGAAGAGGTGTAAATCCTATGGGATGTCTCTCTAAACCAGACCATTTTAAGAAAGCTCCACTGGCAAGTAGCACCTGAAACTTGGCTGATCTAAACACAAGGCCAGGCAGAAAATCTCCACTCTCCTCCTCCTCCATAGACAGGCACTTTCCAGCTGCAGGCTGTCAGGCCAGGATTTTCAGAGGAATTATACATCCTTATAAAGAAGTAAAGGACAGTCACAATTTGTCATGCTGGTGAAAAGGGTTTCATGCTACTTCCAGTTTTTACCCTCAGGCTGCGCTAGAAAAATCCAACACAGCCATCCACAAAGGCCTACACTGAAATGAAAACAGCAGTACAAGATCATCAGCACATTTCATACCCCGAAAGGAAACTGGTCCTATTTTTAAAAAAGTGTCTGCAGCTGCAAGTGAGCAAGGGAAGATGGTGTCAATGGCAGGAGCCTCACCCTGTTCAAGTGGCAGTGCAGGCCGTGGTGCAGGATGGAATGGAAGTTCTCCAGGCGGCTCCCATGGAAGGCGTAGATAAGGTCTCGCTCTCCCTTGGTCTCAGCAAATTTGATGTTCATTTGATCACAGTACACAATCTCAAAGAGGTAGTCAGGAGCAGGAACTGCAGCTCCAGACATCCCTGTGAGTTCCTGGATCTTCTCGTACTTAAAACCAGGAAGGAATATCAGTGTTGGTTTATATGGTTAGATTAGTCACTGGAAATTCTGCTTTCTGTCCCTTCATACTATTTAATGCATTCTGATTATGCTTTTCTGAGTTAGAATTCAACACTCTCACATTTCAGAAGGAGTAAGTGCACAGTAAAAATCCTGCCAGTTTCTTGCTACAGAAGTTAAATCCTAAATCTTCTCTCCAGAAAAAAATCCAAACCTGAATTGTAATTATGAATTAATTTATGATGCAAGGACAATATCACAATTCTACTTTGGCTACTAAGACAATATATTCATCAGCTGATCCTGCAAGAGAAAAAATGATGGAAACAGAAGTTGTTTTCATCTTGCTGCTAATCTGTACAACTATTTTGATCCTTGTTACAGAAGTGCCTCAGTGGCTCTAAACCTTTCCCTTTTTGGGGAAGAAGACAAGAATTGTCTTTCTCAGTGACAAGCAGGACCCAGCTCCAAGGCACCCAGACTGGACTCTCTCAGACTAAACCATGTTATGTTAACTGCAGTAACCAACTACAATCACTGCCCATCATCAACTACTGACAGTGGTAACTATTTCTTCCAACCAGTGTTCCTGAAAATTTTACTTAAAAACACCCCTCTCTATAAACAGAGAAGAAGAGATTTATGTTCAACTATCAAGCTCTCACAATAACCAACTTAATTCTGGCTGCAGGAAATATTCTCTGAAGTGCAAGTTTGCCATAAAAAACAAATTCTAATTAAGATTTTCAGAATTCAGAACTTACCTCCTGTTTCTTATTACTTTGTATCATGAAGACCTTAGATGACAGAATCCAGCTAAACAGGTCCCAGGTCCTTTTATCTGTATTTGGAACAGACTCCAGAAGCTCTTTCAGGCTTGGTAGAGCCTTGGTATCTGCAAGCTAACAACAGAGGCATTTAGCACAAGCTCCTTAGTGCCACTGCGATTAAACAGGGACCTCTAGTGAAAAGAAACCAATATTTCAACCCAACAAACTGAAAAACAGATTCTGTTCTTAGATATAGACACTTGTATCCAGTTTGTGGGGAAGTTTGTCAATTGCTCTGAATGCAAAGAGCAGACAAGTTATAAACAGTGATATTTACCAACAGTATCTGGAGGGTTTGTACAGGAACAATCAGAGATGCTTCTGAGAGAAAACAAGCTGTCACAGGGCAGTATGTGCAGTGGCCCTGACATGGGGGTGTTCAGGCCATGTAACATGCAAATCCTTCAGTATGAATTTGAATCGAACATTGGCAAGCTCTCATAACACTTCACAGAACATCAGGAACATTAAGGCTGGAAAATACGTCTGAGATTATTGAGTCCAACCATTAATTTAACTTTGCCCAGCCCACCGCTAAACCGTGACCCCAAGTACCACATCTACACGTTTTCTGAACACCTCCAGGGATGGTAATTCTACCACTCCCTGGGCAGCCTATATTAACGCCTAACCACCTTTTCAGGGTAGAAATGTTCCAGAACACTCAATCTTGAGCAGCTTGAGGCCGCCTCTTCTCGTCCTGTCGGTTCACTACCTGTTATCTATCGCTTCTTACTTCACGTGCCCACACCGGATCTGGGAGTTTCCCAGTGTGGGTTTATCGGTCAGACTCCCAAATACTCTTTTAAACCTGGATTTCTTGATTGAATAAACCCTTCATCCTGCTTTATCCGTGACCCTGCGGCGCCGCTGCCCTCACCTCTGCGGGCAGCCCGTGCTCCCCATGGGCGCCGCGGGCAGCTCCCCCGGGCCGGCCCCGGGCACTCACCAGCCCCTCGAAGTCCTTGGTGTCGCCGCTGGCGTAGCGGCCCGGGAAGGGCCTCAGCGCCGAGTCGCGCTTGTAGCTCTGCAGCGCGGCGGCGAACAGGCTGCACCGCAGGTCGGCGGCCAGCGGGTCCCGCCGCGCCGCCTCCC